TAATTCTATAAGTAAATATATATAATACCTCTATAAATAGATACCTTTTATTGAGGTATCTCTTCTTTATCAGGGCACACTGAAGCAAGTACTGCCCTGGAACAATAAAACTACCGCTCTTCTAGAATAGTTATGTGCACAAAGAGGTGGGGAGGAAGTTTGTAGGTATTCCAGTAAATTCAAGGATGGGTTGTACCTCTGCATATGGCTCAGGATTACATAATTTGTGTTATTTGAACTGTACCATATAAAAATTATTGGAGAAGTTTAGCAAAATTTGAACACATGACACAGCAATATTTTTTTTCTGACCCTTTTTAAATAATTCAGACCACATGCAAGAGTAAAGCATCTTCTGTTTGTGAGTTTGCATAGTTCAGGTGCCTATATTTCACCTGGAAATAAAATAATTCAACACATCAGACTAGTATAACTGGAGTAGTTATGATCTAATGGAAGATTATACCTTCAGATGAGGACTAATGTGGAGCAACAGATAAACTCAGAAGAAACAAAACACTTGTATCCATGCACAGGTCATTTATAATAAAAAATAAAGGTAGAAAAAAAGAACTCAAATCAGAATCAAAATGTTGGGTAAAAAAGCATCAACTTAAATAACAAATATTTTTTAGTGTTTACTTTTTCTTTGAAAAGGAATTACAGATTCAAAAGAAAAGCAGGAAAGATGCTCTACTGGGTCCCCAGTTGTATTTGAAGTGCCATAGCTCTATTTGAGTGAGACCTGCAGGTCTATTCTGAAAAACTTTTTATCTGAAGATATGCATACAGTTATATGATATAGTTAATATCATGTGTTGGTCTTCAGTAAGTATTCTTACAGCTTCTGTTAAGCAAAGATATAAGTCTTTGTGGGAATGGGTTTTCTGGCATCTCATAGATTTACATCTTCATGGTTCTTCACAGATTTATTTTGTAATGTCCAACCTTTATTTTAGATGTAGCACAATATGTACAAAGGGGTAACTATACTGAAATTAGTGAATATAGTAGGATGGAAAAGAATAAACATTAGAGCAAACAATTTTTTTTTTGTGCATGCATCTTTGAGTGTTTTGGAAATTTTTTTGTAGGAATTTCTTGAAAGTATTTTTATTTCAGGGGAAATCACTATTTTCTGGTTGTTTGGTTTCTTGTTTGTTTGCTTGGTTTTTTAAATTTAGGGAGTTGAATAGGAATGTGATGTTTAGTTTAGTGAAAATCAGCAGACTTGTTGGATAAGACAGTTGTTACAAACAAGAGTGTATGGCTAGACTTTAATCTGTGCTTTTGCTGCTTTACACTACTCAGGTAGTCATTAATCCTCACTCTTTCAGACTTTCCAGTTACTTAGTCATAGTCAATCAGTTTAACATAATTAAAAGGGTGGGGAGCTATCATGCATGGGCTGTAAATAATTTCCCTTTTTACTTATCACCCCTAAGGCAGGGATTTCAGGTCATTGAGAAAACAAAGCTGTTCAAAATTAGGTGTGCTTCTTGGAAACTTAGACAAGATAAATTTCTGATTTCATCCTCAGTACATCTTTCTGTCTGCCTAGACAGAAATGTGACTTGGTCTATGTGCAGGTTTTTGTTGGCAGAGTTATGCTGTTAATGAATTTGAACAAGTGTAATTCCTTATTAACACACTTGGTCTATCATAAACTACAGTGTAAGCTCAGTTGCTTTTGCAAATTTGTGTTTTGCTGAACTCACGGGGTTGGTGCACTCTGAGTGCAAAGCACAGTTTTGCCAGTGTTCATATTTAGACTTTGTGTTTATTCAGTATTCCTAAACTTGTGTATTCCCTCCATAGACATACCCTGCAGTAAAATGGCATTCAACTTCTAAGATGACTGTACTTGCTCAAAAAACCAAAACCAAACCAAACCAAACCAAACCAAACCAAACCAAAAGTGTAAGAATTAGAGGAATTCAGAGTTTAGACTAAATATGGTGTGTGCACACTCTAAAATAACTTAAAATGGTCAAAATCTAGGAACACTTTGTAATCATTAACACTCAGAATTCTGAGTACCTGTTAGGAGTTCATGAAGTTCTTGAAAGCATTTGTAGAAGGCTACAGCAGACCCAGTGAATGTTTTTATGCATTGCATGTTCAATAACAGCTAGTAGATCCTGTAGTCACATCAGATGCCTAATTCAGTACACAAATAATAACTTCTAAGGAGTACCTTTGAAAACTGAAAAGCTGTAATTAGAGGAACTACCTTAGCATAAAAGATTCACCAGGATGACCCACTTAGAAGGACCATAATGTACCTAAAATCAGGCTACAGTTTTCAGTCATAAATATTATATTCTGGCCTTTTTAAGGCTGCATTTGCCTTCCAATAAATGCTTCAGTTTGCACTGAATAGTTGAGTGGTGCCATCACATCTGATTTCTTCGAGAAACGTTCAGAGTGTATGAAATTAACCTAGAGGAAGGGACTAAAAGACATTTTCCACTACAGGTGAATTTCTGTAGTCATTATAAAAAAAAGCTAGGGAAATATCTTTTAGTTTCTCAAATTGTATCACCTGCATGTCTGTGTGATTTTAGGGTTGCTTTTCTTTTATCAGAAGTACATCATGTCCTTAGTTTATCTAATGCAGTCTGTAATTCTTCCTATCCTTACAGACAGTATCAGTCTTAAAATTGATGTCTGGAATATACTTCTGGGGACAGTGTTTACAACTGAAGGAGTAAAGCACAGCTTCTCAAAGCACTACCCTGCTCTTCTCCCATGGAGCTCAGGGGGCAGTTCACACTACTTTAGCACGGGTAATATGATTTGCTTCAGGAATTTCCAGCCATTTGTTCTTACCCCTGCATTACATCTCACTACCTCCTTATTTGTACTACTGCAGCTTCTTCTGATGTTATGCTGGAAAATATATCATTAAAATGATTATGGTTAAAAATAACTTCTTCCCCAAGCTGGAAGCAGGCGGTGTTTTCTTGGAAGCACTGCTACAGAAATTCTAGTCTGCCTTCTCCCAGAGGTGAGGCTTCTGCAATCCTGTTGCAGTACCCAGATTCGCACCCCCTTAACTCTAGACGCATGAGTAATGGTGCAGTTTTGTAATTGATTTCAGCTGTTCTAACTATGGAATGGTGCCAAAGAAGGATCCTGCGTTTCTTTCTTCCCTCTGCTTGCATGCTGCTGACATTTCTTTCTACTAACCCCAGTGATCGTGCAAATGTGTTATGAGCAAATTGCCTTGCTGATATGCCTTAAAACTGTCCAGAAAAGAAGGGAGTGGTTAGTCTTCAGTCAGATAAGCAAGCTGCACTTGACTCATTGTGTCTGTACTTGTGATCCTGGGGCTGCATAAAGGAAGAGATGGAAAAGTACAGCAGGGGAGCAGGGAGGGGGACTGGGACAGAATGTCTTGTTGCTTTCATGCAGCTGGATTGGTGTGACCTCATGCTGGACTAACACAGTCTGGGGTGAATTAGCTGATGATAGCACAGTTGCTCCAGGCTACCTCTACTGTCATTATGGACAGGGGAGAGAGGGATGTGTCTGTCCATGATTTAGGTCCCGTAAATCTCCAAAGTGTGAAAGTGCCACCACTTCCATTCATCCAGCACCCTGCACTGATTTTTTTCAGGGTGGGACTACATATTGCTAAGGCTCAGTGTGAATGCACTGTGAATGCAATGGACAAATTCAGTCGGATTTGAGAGACTGGTAGAGAACTCAGGAATATTAACTCCCCACAAGATTTGTGTAAGTGGGAGCCTGGACAGAGGACAGATATTTAACGGTAACTCATTGAGAGAAAAGATAGTATTTGTAGCCTTTTATTACACAGCAGGGTGCTCCAATGGGGAAGGACACTGCAAGCAGAGTCAATATGATGTGTGGTGCATGGAACTGCTGGTTTTCTTTCAGAACAGAACCTGCTATCCATTGAAAGACTAGAATGTAATGCATTTCATTCTGAAAACCAGTAGAGATATTAGACTTCTCTTCATAGAATTTTCCTTGTAACCTGGAATATTTGCATCTCTAAAAAAAAACATCCGGGTTTGTATTGAAACACTGAACTGTGGTGTCCAGTGCTTAAATGAAGATTGGCATGGTACTGTGTCAGAATGAATAAGCAATTGAGCAGAAGCAAAATATAAACTTTTTTCTCTCATATTTTTCAGGTTAAATATTACAGCTTCACATGTACTTGGGCTTTTTCTACTGATATCCAACACACAGATATTCTAAATAGTATTCAGCAGGTCCTTCTGCAGCATAACAGCACTCTTTCTTTGATACAAAATGGAGGAAACATACAAAGACAGGACTTCATTAGTGAAAGGGGCGAAAGATATTGCCAAAGAGGTGAAGAGGCAAGCAGTGAAGAAAGTGAATAAAGCTGTTGACAAAGCTCAGGATGGCTACACACAGAGGTCCTACAGCCGATTCCAGGATGAGGAAGATGATGATGATTACTATGTCCAAGGAGGAAATTACGGTGCAGAAGCTAATGATGATGAAGGTTCAAGTGAAGCAACGGAAGGGCATGATGAAGAAGATGAAATTTATGAAGGGGAGTATCAAGGAATCCCCAACATGGGGCAGGGCAAGGATGGCATGGTGGCCTTGGGTCAGCCTATGCGTGATGAATATAAAGATCGTAATGAACTGGAAACAGAGAGGAAAGCTGATGAAGAAGAACTAGCACAGCAGTACGAACTGATAATTCAAGAATGTGGCCATGGTCGTTTCCAATGGGCCCTCTTCTTTGTGTTGGGAATGGCACTAATGGCTGATGGGGTTGAAGTTTTTGTAGTTGGATTTGTGTTGCCCAGTGCTGAAACAGATATGTGTATACCCAATTCTGGATCAGGATGGCTTGGTAAGTGCAGTCTTTTCTCTGTTTTTGTTCTCTTGCAAGTGTTGCAGCACACCTAAATATGTACTTGTCAACACCAATGCTTATAAAAACATTTCTATTGAATATAGAAGCAATCCGTGAAGTGCACTGAAAGCTAATATGGATTTAATGAAGATAATAATTTTATTTTTTAGATAATTGTTTTCTTTTTCAGTCAATAAGTATAAATAAATCACTAAGGTGGAAGACTGCACAGTAAAACTTCAGAGGAGAGGGATAATTCTTTTTCTCGTATACAAGACCAGACATCCAGATGAACCAATTAAACAATCAGAACAAACTACATTTGGAGTATTGGAGTTCTGCTGGATTTATCCAGGTGTAATAAAGAGTAGATAATACAAGTGTCCAGCAACATTGTCATACTGCATAGGAGCCTTCCCAAGGGTGAGGTGGAATGAAATTTGGGAAATGCAAGGAATCCAGGGAAGATGCTGTCTAGCCTTTTCCCTCTTTTTGTCTTTTAGTCCTTTTATCCCAATAACTGTTCTCGAGCCATCCAAAGAGTATAATGTTTATTTTGAGTTGGGGGGACAGAAGTCAGCAGGACAAATGGCTGAAGATGAGCCTGGGGTACACTTTTTGTGTCTGTTCGGTTGTTGGGGACGGGCTATGTCTCATCCTATTGACTCTTCCCTCCTGCAGTATAGCAAATAGGCAGGCTGAGCCAGCCTTGTGTGACTCGGTGAGAGCAGCAGTGCTGCAAGAAGGTCCATGCTTGCCCTCAGTGGGTATGCTGGGGCACAACAGATAAAGCAAGGTTCTCATGGGACAGGGCTGTGGAGAAAGGGTGTAGGAATGGTTTCCCAGGGAAGAGGGGAGGTAGGATCATGGAGTCTTGGGATGTGGCAGAAAATTTGATGTATGTGTGTAGATAAGGGGTTTGGGCCTGAAGGACCCAGGCTATTACAGAAAAGAAGGGATTCTTATAAAATATTTAGGAACCTTTGACTTCTAGCAGATGTACTGTTTGTTCCCTTCATCTTTACAATGCATGGTTCTGTAGCAGTAGTCTCATTTTAGCTTTAGCTCAGTTTCCTGATCTTTATTCCTTTGCTCACTGTCAATTAGAAAGACCTTCATATACCAACTGGATCAGAATTAGATTCAGAATTTTAAATAGCACAAAGTTACCTGTGCTATTTAAATAGCACAGAAGCTTTCTCAGTAGACCACTAAGTCCATGACAGGTTGGATTCTTGACATATCTATACTAGCAGTTTGGCTCTATATGTTTCAATAAAGTGAACCATAGTCACCCTATTTTATATCTCTGTGCCTCACTCTGTGTCAGGGGTTCATGAGTAGAAACAGGAGCTGAGTTCTCAGATGGCTGGGTCCTTTGAGGCATTCGTTGACATATGATCATTTTTTGTTAGAAATGAACCACTCTGCTTATTTGTACAGTGCAATGATTAAACTTCTAATAGAAAAAATTTAATTATCTAAGTGTTTATGTTTAAACAGGCTGCATGCAAATGATCCCTTTGGTATATAGCTTGTTTACACAAATTTAAAAATATTGTATTTGTCATGTTGAACCTGTGAGTTTTCAGATCTATTTCTTACAGAAAGAAGGTGCATAAACATGTCTATTTATAGCCATTTTATAGAATCATAGAATGGTTTGGGCCAGAAGGCATTTTAAAGATCATCTAGTTCCAACCCCCTGACCAGGCAGGCACACCTCCCACTAGACCAGGTTGCTCAAAGCCTCATCCAACCTGGCGGAACAACTCCGGGGATGGGGCAGGAAGGGGGCATCCACAACTTCCCTGGGCAATGTCTTCCAGTGCCTCACCACCCTCACAGTAAATAAATTATTCCTAATATCTAATCTAAATTTCCTCTCTTTTGGCTTAAACCATTAGCCTCATCCTACACTACACTCCTGATAAAGAGTGCCTTCCCCTCTCTCCTGTAGGCCACCTTGAAATACTGGAAGGCTGCTCAAAGGTCTCCTCAGAGCCTTCTTTTCTCCAGGCTGAACAATCTCAACTCTCTCAGCCTGTCCTCATATGGTAGGTCCTCCAGCCCTCTGATCTTTTTTGTGGCTCTTCTTTGGACTGGCTCTGACAGGTCCATGTCTTTCTTGTACTGAGGACTTCAGAGCTGGATGCAGTACTCCTGGTGGGGTCTCATGAGAGCAGAGCAGAATTACCTCCCTCCACCTGCTGGTCACGCTTCTTTTGATGCTGCCCAGGACATGGCTGGCTTTCTGGGCTGCAAGCGCACACTGCTGGCTCATATTCAGCTTCTCCTCAATTGACACACTCAAATCCTTCTCCATAGGGCTGCTCTCAATCCATTCTCCACCCAGCCTGTATTTGTGCTTGGGGATGCCCCGATGCATGTGCGGGCCCTTGCATTTGGCCTTGTAGAACTTCGTGAGGTTCACACGGGCCCACTTCTCAAGCCTGTCCGGGTCCCTCTGGATGGCATCCCTTCCCTCAGGTGTGTCAACTGCACCACCCAACTTGATGTCATTCACTAGTGTCCCCAGTTTGGATCTCTATAAGTAATTCAAAGAGTAGAGAGAAAGAAGAGGAACAAACAAACATAACCAAAAAGGTATCTCAAGATAAAGGGTACTGTGTTAGTGCAGATAATAATACAGAATACATTTTCTAAGAGCAGCATATGCACACTTGCTTTTAATGTGATATTGCTCCCCAGTACTTGGCAGTTCAGGACATCTTTAACCCTACTAATCAATTTTATACGGCCTCTCAGTTCCTGTAACAAAAATGATGGATCTCAACCCCATTTTTTAATTACTGATAACCGTGTTTGTTTAACCACACGCACCCTTGCAGGAAACTGAGGGGTCAAATTTGTCTTTGTTCTCCAGGATGATAACAAGAAAAGGGTATCCAGCACGTCTCTGCATTTAGTTCATTTTGAAATAAAGAAAAAAGCAAGGTTATGCAACATTAAGAGGACATTCATTAGCTAACTGATCTGCATATGTAGTTCCTACCACTTATATTAAATGTTAAACTGGGGAACAGATCTTTTAATAATTAAGACATTCCAAAAACTTTAGTAGTCCTGGCTTCTCTGATTGTCAAGTTACGAGTGTGGAGATCATGGCCGTAAGGCTTTTTCTTTGTTACATGTGTTACATATAATTGAAATTTGGGGGCAAACACATTATGTTTTCTAAAAATAGCATTTAATTTAAATGGTTGATATAAGCATTACAGAGGTGTCTGGATTTGGGAGTGGGGAGTATTGTCCCTGCAGTAGCAGCTGGCCATGATGATTCGCAGCCACCTGTTAAGGTCTGACCCATGTCAAGAAGAAGGTTGAGGTTTTCCTGTCGCTAGACTTCTTACAACACTGTCTTGAGATATATTGGAATGACTCTGTAAATGTTTAACTAAAATTCAGTACAGAAGCTGTTAAGTACCTCATAGATATATATACCTATATGTGTGTGTGTGTATATAAATGGTGCTGGCTGATAAGTTAAGGAAAATACTCTGGAAGACTTAGGCATGCAAGCAATGTATTCTCATGCCTAAAGTATAGAAGTTGTAATGGATATCCCCAAATCTTCCTTATGTAACAACATAACACTAGCCTCTGTGTTGTGGTATTAACAAACAAATAATTCTGTGCTAAAAGATCAACATACAAAAGCAGGAAAGAACAGAGATAAGCCATTTGTTTCCCAGTGTGTATTGAAGGCATTGCAGCACCTGATGGTTTTATCAATAATTTCACAAAAAAAAATTGATATTACTTGAACATTGCTAATAGAAATATATCTGACTAACACTGATCAACATGTTTTTTATAACCAATGTAGATACACAGCCTTTGCAGACAGCATAACCTTAATTCCAGTGATGCAAAATATTCACCAGGGCAGTGAATGCTTAGTGAAAGCGTTTTTATATGATCATAATGAGACCTTCACAGCCATGCATTTCAATTACTTTGCTGTTGTGATTTCACATCATAATTACACTCTGACTGGGGTCTTCCAGACAGGCATAATTTTTTTTCATAATTATAAATCCATAATCCAGAGGGCTTTAATGTTGTTAGAATACTAAAGTCATGGGACCAGTGCTAAGAGTTATAAGGTGGAATTGGTACACATACACTATATTTATTTTCCAGGCAGTTTTCTAAACTGTTAAGGAACACAGTAAGAACATGTAATTTGTTATTGAAAAAAGTAGTCATTGACTCAGTTGTAAAAACTGATTTTTCACGTCATGTCATGATAGTTTGCTAGCTAATTAAAAGCATGTGACAATATTCATAGAGCATTTTTTTATTTACTTGCACCAGGGTTATTTTCCAAATTCCCTCCCTATTGATCCATGTATGAGCTTGAGGTCACTGCTGATCGATCACCAGCAGCATTTCAGAGCCCGTAAAGTTACATGATAAAACTACTGATCAGAATAATGAACTGGTTTCTCAAAGCCTTTTGAGTTAAATAATAAAATAACATGTTTTTTCATCTCCAAGCAGTTATTTTATTAAAAAGAGAGAAGCTGAATTGCTAAAATTTTTCCAAGGTTGTAGTGACATGTCACTAAGCATGAGAGAAAGGCCTCCTTTCCTGCCCCTTAAACTGGCTGTACTTGTCAACTTCTGCACATATGTGGATCCGTGTTGCCGTCTTGGGTTCTGGCAGAGATGAAGCAGGACTGTACCTTCATGAGAGAGGTTGTGGGCTCAGGACTGAAGATGATGGTTTGTTTTTTTTCCTGCCTGCATCTTATCCCTTTGGTTTTACATGCAGCTCAGAAATGGACTCTGAGCTCTGATTTGGGTGTACTTTCCAACGTAACATTTTTTTTGTGTCTTTGCATGCATATTGTTCTTTAGTTTTATAGAATTTTTTTGTGTAAAATTAAAATTTTGTCCCTTTCTTTCTCCAGCATCTCTACTTCTGGAATAAGGAAACATTCTTTTCCCTGAGCTAAACAAAGCTAGCC